GCTACAGAACTGAAGAAAGAATTCTCAATGGAGGAAATCAAAAAGGCTGAAAGACACTTAAGAAAATGCTCCACATCCTTAGCTATCAGGGAAATGCAAATCAAAACAACTTTGAGATACCATCTTACCCCTGCCAGAATGGCTAAAATTAGAAACACCAGTGATGACTTATGTTGGAGAGTATGTGGAGAAATTGGAACACTCCTCCACTGCTGGTGGGAGTGCAAACTCATATAGCCATTTTGGAGATCAGTATGGTGGTTCCTCAGGAAAATGGGAATTAGTTTACCACAGGACCCGGCAATCCCCCTCTTAGGCATATACCCAAAGGATTCACATCCATGCAACAAAGACATCTGTTCAACTATGTTCATAGCAGCACTATTTGTAATAGCAAGAACCTGGAAGCAACCTAGATGCCCCTCAATTGAAGAATGGTTAATGAAGATGTGGCACATCTACACAATGGAATACTACTCTGCAGAAAAAAATAATGGTATCTTGAAATTCGCAGGCAAGTGGATGGCACTTGAAGAAACCATCCTGAATGAGGTAACCCAGTCACAAAAAGAGAAACACAGTATGTACTCACTCATATATGGATTTTAGAACTAGATCAAATGATCACCAGCCTATAATTCACATCACCAGAGGAACTAGGGTACAAGTTGTATTCTAAGAGATTCATATAAAGTCCCTCACAGAACTGGGAAGGGACAAGTCCCCCAGACCTCAGGTAAAGTGCAGGAGGACAGCTAATGGAGAGAGAAGTAGGAGAAAATGAGGGGGAGGAGAGGAAGGCATGTGCGACCAGGAGGATTAAGCCTGGTTAGGAAAGGAAAATAGGAAAGAGAGAGAGAGAGACAGAGACAGAGAGAGAACATAAAAGAGGGAGCCAATATTGGTTTGAAGATAAAGTTGAACACAAAGAAAGGTCGAGGGAACTACAAGACTGCTCCCAACTAACAATCTCAGCTCCCGTGGAAAGGCTATCATAAATGCCCTTCCCGGATAGTGAGATCAACAACTAACATCTCCATGGAGTCCTCAACTAATGCCTGTTGAAAATAGGAGCAAACACCCATACATAAACACTGAGTCGAACTAGAACCCAGAAGCAGATGGAGAGGACAAGACCATGTGGTAGAAGTACATAGAGACAGCTTACCTGAACAAGGAGGAGCTAAGGGCCACTAGACTGATAGCTGGGAAGCCAACAGGGGATTGACTCAGACCCCCCTGAATATGGGTCTCAGCCAGAAGGTCTGAGCAGTCTAAGAGACCTCAGACAGTGGAGCCAGGATATATCCCTGGTGCACAAAAGGACTTTGCAAACATATGCCCCATGGAGGGATAACTGCCTTATTCTAGAGATAGGAGAGAAGCCCTAGTCCCTACTTCACATGACCTGTCAGATCTACATGACCCCAACTGGATGGCATTCCCCTACATATGGTATTGTGGTGGGGGGTTGGGAGGGGAGGGTGTTTAGAGTGCATGTGAGAGGGCAGAGAGGGCAAAAGGGAGGGAAGAAAAGGGAGGGCTGGAGGGGAGGGAGGGAGGGAGGGAGAGGGAACTGGGATCGACATGTAAAATAATAAATTAAAAAAAAAAAAAAAAAAACGCTTTGACTCCAAAATTTAAGTTGAAGAACAAGTTACTGGGGAAAAGGATTTTTATTTTTGTTTCCACAGAAAATGAAAATATGTGGATTCCTTCCAGACTAATGTGGTTTGATCACGCCAGACTGCCTGAAACAGAGTACAAGCTGATCCTACATTCCAAACAGCTGGACAAAGCAGCCTTACAGACTACAGCTAGGATATCTGAATCTTCTTCGAATCCCCCAAGACAGCGCCCCTTACCAGCAGGAAGTAGTTTGGAAAGAACGACGCCCAAATTCCCAAATATTGTGTATAAATGTTTGTTTTCATTTAATTGGACTTTGTTATATAAAATTAAATAAAAAAAAAGAAAAAAAGAAAAAAGAAAAGTGCTAGAATGGAGATGTCTACCCATGATAAAAATCACTCCAGGAACACAGTCACATCAGTGTTTTAGAAAGAGGCGAGCATGCTCATCTAGTCCACAGCCTGTTTTTGTACAAGTTAGGAATGACTGTTCCACGGTTTAAATGGCTGTCAAATTGCCTTCTAAACACTTAAGCTTCTATCCGTAGACCTGGGGTGCTCTCAGCCTGGATCAGGGAACCCTTTTTCCCCAGTGAACAGCAGTCAGTGCAGAGATTCATAGCTGATCAGAGTGCCGAGAATAAGTTGACTGTGGGTGTTCGGCTGTCAGTAAGATATCTTGATTAATCCCCCCACTCACCACTAAGGCTCGAGGTACATGGAGAAGGATGGGTGGGAAGGATACCACACAACAGTGGTACCTGCACCAGAGCAAACCAGCAAAAATCCCAGCTGGGTTGGGGAGGAGGTCTCAAGGCCCACCCCTCACCGAGGAGCTACTGGCAGCTGAAAGAAGTAGAACCATTCTTGGAGTGGGTGTCCACTGGTAGGCCACCTATGCTCCAGTGGACAGCCAGCACATAGGCACATATGGGTGGCACTAATTGGACCTAGTACATTTATTTGAAAAAGAAAAGGAGGAGGAAGAGGAAAAAGAAAGAAGAGGAGGAGATAAAATTGGGAGGGAGACATCTTAGGGGAAGAGTAGGGGAGAAGGAATGCAGGAGAAAACGGACAATAGAGATGATCATAGTTTATCATATATTTAATTCTAAAATAATTAAAAATCTAAACTTTTTTAGGAAATAAATAAACAAAATTGCTGAGAAAGGGGCTGAGAGATGGCTAAGTCAGTGAAGTCCTTGGTGTACAAGACTATGGACAGGATCCACATCAAAACCAGACATGGCAGCATACTCTGTAATCCCAGAGCTGGGGATGGGGCCGGGTGGAAACAGTAGCCTAGGGGTCTCTGGCCAACCAGTTTAGCCAAATCAGAAGCTCTAGGGTGGGGGGGGGGGGGGGGGGGGGGGTTTGGGGGGGGGGGGGGGGGGGTGTGGGGGGGGGGTGTGTGTGTGTGTGTGTGTGTGTGTGTGTGTGTGTGTTGTAGTGTGTAATAGCTGTGTGTGGTGATTTATGCCTTTAATCCCAGCACTAGGGAGGCCAAGGCAAATGGATCTCTGTGAATTCAAGGCCAACCTGGACTGAGAGAGGGGATTGGGGGGATTAGCAAGAGAAGATAACTGATATTGATCAGTGGTCTCCACAGATGCATATATCTGCATATAACACACACACACGATTGATAAATATGATTAAGAAAAGAAGTCTAAATAAGAATAATATTAAGTCCATGCTGCTTTGGGGCTGCAGCATGTTGCAACTGACCACAGAAGCCACCTGTCCCACAGAGCAGGAAATATCTCATTATCTCATCCTTCATAGAAAATGTTTGCAAAGCCCTTCCTGCACTAATTATGTCCTTTCTTAAGAATGGATGCTGTGACATGACTACCTCTGTTTAAGCTCTAATGGGACAACTTACCAATTAACTGTGTGACACATCGACCACTCTAAAGCTGGTTATTCTCCTCTGTAAAAATTAGGTTATTTCCTATTATTTAGTGCAGACTCATTATGAGTTATGGAGTGGTGACTCATCTGAAATTTCTAAACTAGTACCTGGCACACAACAAGCTCTGAGGGACCATTGCTTGCTTCTCACCAAGAGATATAAAACGTGTTTTCAAACCCACCAGGTTTCTACCTAGCCCATGACAGAACATTAAGATAATAATATAAAATATTATATTACAAGAAGACAAAATAAGAAAAACAAGAGAGAGATTTGGGAGAGAAGAGAAACAAAAAGGCTTTAAGAGACCTCATCTGCAAAAACAGTCAGAGTCCAATTCCAATGCAAAGTATGAATGAGAATGGGGGGGGGGGGACTTTCAACAGATCAGATGGCCTCTGTGGGCTAACTGTGCACTAACCACCAAGTGGAAGTGCAGTCTCCATGGGGGAAATGCCTTCTAAATTCCAAGCAAGTGACTTACAAATGATCTGGGGTCGAGTCCTTTTTGAAGTTGGGGCTTCCTGTATTTGACATTCCTATACAAATGACAAGTGAGCCCTGCAGTAACTTCAGCATCTTATTATCCATGTGTAGTTGCTCATTAAGAGGAGACAGTTAGACAGGGCCCCTCTCTGGACTGTTTGTTACAAAAGTCACCAGAGGTCAGGGACCATTTTTGTTATCCCTGAGTTTACAACGTATTCAGTGCTTCCGAACAGCAAGAAAAAGAAGAAGAAAAGAAAGTTCCCATAAATAGAAAGCAACTTCATTCACTAAAACTGGGCTTGCAGGCAGCTGTGAGGCAGGCACTGTGCAGAGTGGATACACTTAACCTGAGGGTGAGACTTACCTGCCAGTGACTCATTTTCCTACCCAAAGCTAAATCTCTACCTCTCCCAGTACTCTGAAAAATTACCTGCATGTTTCTCCTTTTAAATTATTCTTTCAGGACTTTAAATCACCCCTGCCCGTAAAAGATTTATTTTTAATTTCTTTTTTTTAAACTATTATAGTTTTATGGGTTACTGGTAGTTTGCCTGTACATTTGCCTGTGTAACATATGCATACCTAAGCGCCTACAGAGGCTGGAAGAAGGAATCAGATTTCCTGGAAATGGAGTTAACAGACAGTTGTGAGCCAACATGTGGGTACAGGAAATTGAACCCAAGTCCTCTGGCAGAGCAGCCAGTGCTCTTAACTGATGAGCCATCTCTCCAGACCCCCAAAAGAGAATCCTTAAAATTACAACTCCACAATCAAACAACTATGTTTATTAGTCCCTTCCAACCCCAATCCCTATAATCCTAGCCCCACTATGGGTTACATTAGGGGAAAGTCATTCATCAAACCAAGTATCTTTAAGAGACTTGATGCATGAGCCTCACATGGAAATTCTTGAGAAGGAAAAAGATAGTATTGTCCAGCATCTCTGCAAATGTGCCAAGGAGATTGGTTTAAAGCAGTGTGTTCAAAAGGGGCTAATGTGTATCTAGGCTAGACACAAGTTGAGAACACTCACTGAGAATGGATCTGCTGGGAGAGTCCCACGGAAGGCTTCGGCTTGAGGGTCAGGGTCATCTGAGCCACTGGATTGACCCTTGGTAGAGCGTCTGCCTTCTTGGTTGAGGAATGCTTTGCCACTTGCTCAGAAGGGACCCAAGAAGACCCATGATTCTGTCCTCCAAAGACTGGTGGCACAGTGTCCTGGGAAGCTGTGATCTCGCAGGATTTGCCCTTTGTCCCTGGCTTACACACACAGAGCTGAGGCCGGAGACACATCCCTCCGTTCTGGCATGGCGGAACACAGCTTGCTGCAGAAGACAACAGAAGACATAGTTTTGAAGAAAAGCACAGTAGACTTCACTCATTCTTCCAAAGAGTCAACAGTGCAATTAGATGTTCCCCTGAGAAAATCAGGGAGATGATGGTGGTGGTGACAGCTGATACCTGTTAGTGGTTACCTATGTGACAGGCACTTTTCATGTACACACACACACACAAAATAAACTTAATCCCCAAAAACTGTTTTTAGTAGATATTTTATTATGTTTATTTTATGGATAAAGGAACAAATGCAAAGGTTAAGGCTTAACAAAGAAGTTAGGTTAGAACCCAAACAAGCTGACTCAAAGACATCCTTCTTAACCACTGCATTATAACTGCCTTCCTAAAGTACACCACAGGTTTTTTAAAAATCTTTAAAAAAAAAAAAAAAAGTATCCTGTGGTGGTTTGACTGAAATGGCCTGATAGGCCTATAGCAAATAGCACTATTAGGAGGTGTGGCCTTGTTGGAGTAGGTATGGCCTCATTGGAGAGTCTCTCTGTCTCTCTGTCTCTCTGTCTCTCTCTCTCTCTCTCTCTCTCTGCTGCCTGCTGATCTGGATATAGAATTTATGGCTACTTCTCCAGCACCATGCCTGTCTGCTGGTATGTTGCCATGCTTCCCACCATGACAATAGTGGCCTGAACCTCTGAACACAGGTGGGGTCCCTTGGGAGAATCGAGGTCACTAACTTGAACTGCCTTGTGTAATGTCACAGGTTTCTGGACAGCTCCCATCAGACCCTTTTCATTTGTTGGAATTATTTATCTGCTACCCCTTTGTTGATAGTCTGTTTCAGTCTTAAACTCTTGACCTTGAGACCACACTACTACATTTCTTACCCAAGTCAGTGCCTATTCAGTTCAGTCCACTAAATAGTTCCAGAAGAGATGAGAAACGTATGTCTTAGTTGAGGTTTCTATTGCTGTGATGAAACACCATGACCAAAAGCAAGTTGGGGAGGAAAAGGATTGCTTATACTTCCATATGACTAATCATCATCAAAGTGAGCCAGGGCAGGAACTCAAACAGCAGGAACCTCGAGGGCAGAGGCCAAGGAGGGTGCTACTAACTGGCTTGCTCCTCATGGCTTGCTCAGCCTGCTTTCTTATAGAAGCCAGGACCACCAGCCTAGGATGGCATCACCCACAATGGACTGGGCCCTGCACCATCAATTAGTAATTAACAAAATGCCCTACAGATCTGCCTACAGCCCAGTCTTGTGGAGGCATTGTCTCAGTTGAGACTCCATCTCTCAGATGACTCTAGTTTGTGTCAAGTTAACATAAAACTAGTCATCACAATGAAACACTGTTATGAAGAACCACATGAACAACATCTAACTCCTTGGAAACCTGCTAGTTTTTCCCATCCTGCTATAATATGATTCCTATTGGTCATAACAAATAAAAAAAATGTTTATTGAATATCAGAATACCAGGCACCATTTTTAAAAATATTTGAGGAGGAAAGAAGATTAGAGCTAGAACCAACTTTGTAGACTATGTGACTTAAATCAGTTAACCCTGGCCAGGTAACTGTGGGTGTTTCAGAGAAGTTACTGATACTTGTAAAGTGGTCCCCAAGAGCCACTCCTATATTAGGTTTCTCAAATTCAAATTCAAATGCTCTGCACTTAGTTAAGAATACTAATTCATCAACATGTTCATGACTAAGCAAACTTGGTAGCTGGATCTGAGATGCTGGGCTCCAAGTACTTGCCAGGCCACTATTATTTATGGAATGTCACAGGGTTGAATGGGCTCCACCCAAGTGAACAGAAGCAGCAGGAGAGAGTACAGGACCAGGCTTTCCACTGGGGCATTTGACAGAGATCAGGTCCCAGGCACTGTCATATATGCATTATTCTCTTAATGCTTTCAATTAGGAGTGTATCTCAGTCTAACATCTGAGAGTGATTACCACTCCTCTTCCCTTCCAAGGTGTCCTGCAAATAGCTACTGATCTCTCAGGCAGGCTGCATGACACAGCTTGCAGGATCTGGCACCCAGGAAAAGGCCAAGGATTGAAATCACCCAACACTCCATTCACTGTGCCACAGGTACCTGTCTTTAGGTAACCATAAATGGATTGGGGGAGGGGTGATTTGTTTTTGTTTTCTGCTTTTTTCAAATTTTATATGTTATAAGAATACAGGAAAAGGGTAATTTTTAAAAAACACTAATTAAAACATCAGGCTGGGGAAATGGCTTAGTTGGTAAAGTACTTGCCATGCAAATGTAAAGAACAGAGTTCAGATCCCATGAACCATGTTAAAATATTGGACATTATGTTATGATCTCAGTATTGGTGAAGCAGAAACAGAAGGATTACCTGGGTCTTACTTGGTAAGCTCCAGGTTCAGTGGGAGACAGTCTCAAAACAATAAGGTAGGGTGCAATAGAAGAAAATATTCAACTTTGATTTCTAGCCTCAAATACATATACACACATGTGTACGAGTGTGTGTGTGCATGCACACAGACACACAGACTACACATAAAAAGAAAACACAAAGATTTTGAAAATAAATCCTATTAGAAAAAAAAAGAATAATCCATGTGTTAGAATAATGTCTTCAAAACTGTCCTTCTGCAGTAAATTTTTGAAGAAAATACTTCAATTGCCCTACCAAGGTTGGGGTAGGAGTCCTTGGATCATGCAGCAGGGGTTGTCTTGAACTGGAACAGCAGGGCAGATAGATGCCCCTAATGCCCAATACAAGCCCCCTCATGTGACAGGAAAATACCAAACCCATGCTCTCCTTTCTCCCATCATGCTTTATCATGTTTTTTGTTGTTGTTGTTGTTGTTGTTTTTGTTTTCTGTATCATTAGGAGAAACACTGCATGCACAGTGTTGTTTTGGAAAGTTTATTTACACTGTAAAGATGTGTCTCTGCCTAAGACACCTTCTGATTGGCTTAATAAAGAGCTAAATGGCCAATAGCTAGGTAGGAAAGAATAGGTGGGATTTCCAGGGAAAGAGATGAAGAAGAGGAAGAATCTAGGCACATGGTTTTGCTGGCAGACTCAAAGAAGTCAGACATGTTGTACTAAGGAAAGGTAAAGAGCCATACAGCAGAGCATAGATTTTTTTTTTAATCAGTGAATTAAGTTATAAGAACTAGTTAGAAACAAGACTAAGCTAAAGGCCAAGCTTTCATAATCAATAATAAGTCTCTGTGTCATTATTTGGGGGCTGCCAATCCAAAGATAGTCCAACAAGAAAGCTTGCTATACAATGCTACTCACTTCAGAAAAGGGGAAAGGATTTTAAAGTTTCTAAAGCCAGGCAGTCCTGCTAGTTGTAGGTGAACCCAGGATACAGAATGAGACGTTCTCTGTGGCAGAATAACAAACCTTAAAAGGCTGGATACAAGATACAAACCATGTGCTGTGCCATCCTGGACAAACAAGAACACAGGACTGATTCCTGAGAGGAGAGATGCATGCCACTGTCAGACTTTCTGCAGGTAGCTCTTTAGAAACACAGCATTGGGAGGAGAACCACAGAGCATGAGAGCTCTGCTGTGCAGAAGGGCAGAACCCACCTCAGGAGGTGGAGTGGCTGGAACACATAGAGCAAAGAAGAGCCCGTAGGGACCTGAGAATTGGGCTCCGTCAATCGCCTGACACCCAAGTCAGCAGATACAGGATGAGGCCAGAGAACAAGCCCATCAAGACCTGGAAGTAGTGAACAACCACATATCCTCTAGGATCCAGATCCACTTCTGCAGTGCTGGGGTCAGGACATGAAGTCAAACCCAGAATCAAACTCTTTGAAAAGAACAGTATAAGGTGAAGCAAAGAGGACTGCCACAAGTTCAAAGCAAGCCTAGGCTGCATAGCAAGTTTGGGGCTAGCCTGGACTACATAGTAAGACCCTGTTAAAAGAGAGGGAAAAGACAGGACAGGAAGGAGAGAATGAATAATTAGTATCTAAACATAGAATAGGCAAGAGTAGTACCCACAAGAAAATGAAAATACACACCAATTAAACATAGATGCAAAATACCTAAATGAATTGTTGATAGACCAAATATGTCAATATTTCAGAAGCAGAAAAGTAAGTAGAATTAGCTCTAGAAACATAAGGAAGGTCCTACTGTCAGCAGACCAAACAATGTAATTCCCCATGTTTAAAAAAAAAAAAAAATGAGAATTTGACTCAAGGAATGCAGAAAAGCTTCCAGTAAAATCCATGACTTACTCATAACAACAAATAAAAACTGCTTGCCAACCCTGAATACACATACACAGGGATTTCCTTATTCTGCTAAGCGGTATCTACAGCAAATCCTACAAACAACATACCAAGATCCCTAGCGAATATTACAAGCACACTGCAAAAGCATTCCTGTCAATGCTGGAAACAAGCCTAAATGCCCATAATCATCTCTAACAGGGCCCAGGCAACATGACAAAGCAAAAACAGAAAAGGGTCTATTGTGCCAGAAAACAAGAAACAAATTTATCAACTTCTGTAGTTTCTCTTGTTATGTATACAAGTTACTAGAAAATCTACATACTATCATAACTGATACAATAGATCCAAAAGAGCTGGGTGTAGTGTCTTTCCCTATCACTCTCTACCTCCTTATATCTTTGAGGCAGGGTCTCTCACTAAAGCTGCAGCTGGACATTTCCAATAGGCTGCTGGCCAGCAAGCTCCCAGGATCTGATTGTCTCCATTCCCAGCTCTTCCATTACAGGCACACAAGGCCAAGCCTGGCTATCACATGGACACTAAGAATTTGTCAAGCAAGGATTCTTACTCACTGAGCCATCTTCAACCTTAGGATGCTACTTTGTAATAGTGTTTTTAATTTCATGATCATCTTGTAGCTTAAATTTTAAAATAACACCATGTACTTTTATGGATGCTAAACATGCCAGACATGTGCTCAGCTTGAAGTCCATGGGCCATATGCAACCAACATGCAGCCCAACACAAAATTTTGAACTTAGTTAAACATTCTCAGATTGG